GCTGTGACGGGAGGTAGACAGGACAGAACACACAGAGCAGATGATAAACGCACAGAGATTTATTAAAGAAATGACAGGCACTCAATTGGGGTCTGCAGATAATGTGGCAGTACCCAGTCTAGGGGGATAGCAAGGAGAGGGCTCAAATAATTGTAATCCATCCCCAAGGGGGGGCAAAGTTAGAGTCTCTAGCAATTTGTAATCCAAGTAGGGAGCAGAGGGGGAACAGAGTTCCAAGGACAGTCCAGGGGGGATAAAACGGGTGCACACACGGCTCCGGCAGGGATGTCCTGGCTCACAGCGGACAACAGCAGGGGCGACCCTGCTCAGCACACAGCAACAGCGGGTAGTTCTAGCACACAGCAACGGCAGGTAATCCGGGGCCCCAGAGTATTAGGCAGAGGATCGTGGGGCCCACAGCAGATAGTCCTGACCCAGGGTATTAACAGAGGGGCAGCGGGTACTCCCAGCCCTGGGGTATTAGCAGAGTGTCAGCGGGTACTCCCAGCCCTGGGGTATTAGCAGAGTGTCAGCGGGTACTCCCAGCCCTGGGGTATTAGCAGAGTGTCAGCGGGTAGCGGGTACTCCCAGCCCTGGGGTATTAGCAGAGTGTCAGCGGGTACTCAGCGGGTACCCAGCCCTGGGGTATTAGCAGAGTGTCAGCGGGTACTCCCAGCCCTGGGGTATTAGCAGAGTGTCAGCGGGTACTCCCAGCCCTGGGGTATTAGCAGAGTGTCAGCGGGTACTCCCAGCCCTGGGGTATTAGCAGAGTGTCAGCGGGTACTCCCAGCCCTGGGGTATTAGCAGAGTGTCAGCGGGTACTCCCAGCCCTGGGGTATTAGCAGAGTGTCAGCGGGTACTCCCAGCCCTGGGGTATAACAGAGTGTCAGCGGTGTTGATTCTCCCCCAAATCCTACGTTATTGCAGAGCAGCAGCGGGTGGTAATTCTCCCCCAAATCCCTGGTTATTGCAGAGTGGCAGCAGGGTTTTAATTTGCCTGGTCTCGGGCTCTTGCAGAGTGGCTGCGACACAGCGGGGACCTCTCAGCGGCTGTGCAGCGAAACGAACGACCAGGGAGCCTGGCATCGGCCTTCTTAAACCGATGCAGGACACTCCCTGGTCGTCCTGGCAACCGTGGGCGACGTGCCTCATCGCCCCCGGCAACGAGGCACGCCCCCCTTGACACGGGCCGCGCTCTTGAGAGCACGGCCTTTGTCAGTATCTGCAAGCGCAGGAACTTTCATGCCCGCACTGCAGATGCCGGGGCCGTGCGGTGTCAGGCTGACTGCCGCGACACGGAACATCCTCGCGGGAGGCTCGCACCTCTCCGCCGAGAGGTGTGAACCTCACTGCGGGGAAACTATCTTCCTCCCTCCGGCCGAGCTGGATGGGAGGAAGATAAGTGACAAGGGTGACAGGAGTCACACCTCTTATCCTGCGTGGCCCGGATTCAAAGAGCCGTGACAGGATGAGAAGTGGAGGGGGGTGATCAAGGGGAGAGGGACATCTGCCACACCGTGACACCGGCATTTCCCTATTTGCATGCGATCAGCTGCGATTGGACACAGCCGATCACATGACCGAGCCGACAGCTTCGGCTCTTTCCGTTGATCGGTGATCCGCTGTGTCTGAGGGACACAGCGCACCACCGATTGCCGTGCTGCATGCTCCCGGAGCCGCGCATACGCGGTTAGAGTGGGACGACGTCCTCCCAGAACGAGAGAACCGCCTTGCGCCCGCCATTTCCTTATATGGCGGGCGGGAGGCGGTTAAACACAACACATGGTGATTTTGGTTGAACACGTGATTTTCGGTTTAGTAAAAAAAGTGTATGCAAGCAAAAACGCTGCAGAACAGACAAAACGCGAATTGCATTGGTGTGAATAAGGCCTGAAATGCTTTGAAAATGCAGCAAAAACACGCGTTGCGTTTTTTTATGCATTTTTACATAATACATAGTTTTTTAGGACAAAAGGCGTTTTTTTTTTTTTTTTTTTTTTTTTGATGATATTGTCTTGAGAAAATGGGTTTTATTTTTTATTTTTATTTTTTTGTGCAAGCTATAGACAATACATGTAAAAAAAATTTAAAAAAAAAAAAAAAAATTCTACTTTTTAAAAATAGTGATACTGTAGATAAAAATATAACTTGTATATTTTTTTAAAATGATACTAAAGGGCTTATTGACCGGAGCGCTGAGCAGCGTGCAGAGCCATTTACTATTTCTTTGGGTGCTGAACTGCTTGCAGGCAGCCTATGTAAAATCAATGGATGTGCTTTGGCCGTACTGACTCACCTGCCTGTGCATCCAGGTCCATGCGCCTGTCCATCCAGGTCCATGCGTCTGTCCTCAGTCAAGCTCAGCTGTGTGGATGAGCCCCTATATTTCAGTGCTAGTTAAAGTGTTCCTGAACCTGCCCCATTACAATCAGTCTGTATATGCAGCAAAACATGCTTGTTATACTCGCTGTGGAACCTAAGGGATTATCCCTTCACATTATGTAAAAAGGCTGTTTGATCCTGTTTTCTCTGATCCTCCCCTTCTTCTACTGTCCTCAGTTCATCTACTTATAGTAGAGAGCTCTAGGAGTCACTCTGCACTTGCTCAGTTTTGTGTGTATTTTTTTTTACTTTGGGAGGGTGCATGTGATCAGCACAGGGCCAATCAGCACTGTCCAGACAGAAGGTCAGGGGTCATGCAGCCTCATAGGGCAGTCAGAAAAGAAAGAAAACTCCCCCTACAAGATTAACCAGTGCTCTTCTGGACACTGATAGAAGTCACAAGACTGCTTTAACTGCTGATGAGAAAAGGTATTTAGCAATTTATATTTACTGAAATAATTGCACTTCCATGTTGTGTACTGTGGGAGACCAGATATAGTGAATGCAGGGTCCGGGGAGACCAGATATAGTGAATGCAGGGTCCGGGGAGACCAGATATAGTGAATGCAGGGTCCGGGGAGACCAGATATAGTGAATGCAGGGTCCAGGGAGACCAGATATAGTGAATGCAGGGTCCAGGGAGACCAGATATAGTGAATGCAGGGTCCGGGGAGACCAGATATAGTGAATGCAGGGTCCGGGGAGACCAGATATAGTGAATGCAGGGTCCGGGGAGACCAGATATAGTGAATGCGGGGTCCGGAGAGACCGGATATAGTGAATGCGGGGTCCAGGGGAGACCGGATATAATGAATGCAGGGTCAGGGGAGACCGGATATAGTGAATGCAGGGTCAGGGGAGACCGGATATAGTGAATGCAGGGTCAGGGGAGACCGGATATAGTGAATGCAGGGTCCGGGGAGACCGGATATAGTGAATGCAGGGTCCGGGGAGACCGGATATAGTGAATGCAGGGTCCGGGGAGACCGGATATAGTGAATGCAGGGTCCGGGGAGACCGGATATAGTGAATGCAGGGTCCGGGGAGACCGGATATAGTGAATGCAGGGTCCGGGGAGACCGGATATAGTGAATGCAGGGTCCGGGGAGACCGGATATAGTGAATGCGGGGTCCGGGGAGACCGGATATAGTGAATGCGGGGTCCGGGGAGACCGGATATAGTGAATGCGGGGTCCGGGGAGACCGGATATAGTGAATGCGGGGTCCGGGGAGACCGGATATAGTGAATGCGGGGTCCGGGGAGACCGGATATAGTGAATGCGGGGTCCGGGGAGACCGGATATAGTGAATGCGGGGTCCGGGGAGACCGGATATAGTGAATGCGGGGTCCTGGGAGACCGGATATGGTGAATGCGGGGTCCGGGGAGAGCGGATATGGTGAATGCGGGGTCCGGGGAGACCGGATATGGTGAGTGCGGGGATCGGGGAGAGCGGATATGGTGAATGCGGGGATCGGGGAGAGCGGATATGGTGAATGCGGGGTCCGGGGAGACCGGATATGGTGAATGCGGGGTCCGGGGAGACCGGATATGGTGAATGCGGGGTCCGGGGAGACCGGATATGGTGAATGCGGGGTCCGGGGAGACCGGATATGGTGAATGCGGGGTCCGGGGAGACCGGATATGGTGAGTGCGGGGTCCGGGGAGACCGGATATGGTGAGTGCGGGGTCCGGGGAGACCGGATATGGTGAGTGCGGGGTCCGGGGAGACCGGATATGGTGAGTGCGGGGTCCGGGGAGACCGGATATGGTGAGTGCGGGGCTCTCATGTATAGGGGGGCTTTGAAGTGAAGGGTAAACCTCTGATATGATGGGGGGACCTCATGTATAGGGTGGCTTTGATATGATGAGGGGACCTCTGATATAAATGGGGCTTATAACGTGAACTTTATTTCAGAAAGGTGGTGGTGTTCATCATCTCAGGCTCAGGCTTCCCTTTGATAAGTATCATTTGCATTTTTTTTTTACACTTTAGACTGGGGGTTCCTCGAGATTTTAAAGTGTGCCGGGACTGAAAAAAAAAGATTGAGAAACTGCTTCAAATTGTTTAGTTGCATGCTGTCCTTTTTTCTGGTTTCCAGCAGAGTCCTTGGTTTTAATTCTGACCAACTGAGTGCTAAAAGTCTCCATTTTCTGTATGTTGAATTCATTGATGATCAACATTGAAGACTGATATGTCCAAAAATAATTTTCAAATCCGTTTTTGATTAGCAGTGTACTCGTTCTCCATCTTCTGTGATTGGCTGGGGTTGGTAGCTCAGCATGGTTCGTCCAATCCACAAAGCTGTTACTTATACCTCTCCCTCCTGTTTTTCAGTCAAGGTAGAGAAAGAAGTGTACTCCTGGGTCGGAGCTGATGTGGTTCTGAAATGCATCATTGAGATCGAAGAAGAGAAGATAAGACAAGTCACCTGGAGCAGGAGTGAAAATGCCCAAAACGTGGACTTTCTCACCTATGTTAAAAATTCTGGGAAGACGGAGAAGTTGACTCCTTTTGCGGAGTCCAGAGTGGATTTTCTGTGGAATGGAAATACAGATGGATCAATCAGGATCCGGAATGTCGCACTGACCGATGAGAGCGTCTATACTTGTATCTGCACCAGCTTCCCATTGGGAGCTTTTCTCAATAGGACTTCTCTGATTGTACAAGGTGAGCGCTGCATGGACATTTTATCGGTGATAGCCCTGTGAAATGATTGATGAAAGATTGTTGAGAATTTTATAGAAAGTTTGTTAGGCCTAGATTACACTTGTGGTTGGGGGGGGGGGGGGGGGTAGTTAGAAATAGGTGGTTGACACCTAAATGCAAGACCAACACACCGTTGGTTGTATGCAACATATGCCTGTTAGCATCCAAGCATCATGACCACGGTCAGTGGTGTATTTGGGTTTTGTGCTGCCCTAGGCAACACAGAAATTGGACCCCCCCCCCCCCCCTGTTGGAGAGAGCCTGCCACCAACCAACTCCAATCCCCCTTCCAGTGGAGAGAGCCTTCACAGCTCTGGCCATCCCCAGGAACGACAGTTGGGCTCTGCATATACCATCAAGCAGCCCACAGCCTCTCTCGGAACCCATCTGGTCCCAATGTCCCGTCTTGCAAGGGGCAGTGCTACCCCTCTAAAAAAAAAATGCCGCCCTATGCAAATGCCTTGTGATAAATATGACCCGGTGGAGAGAGCCTGCCACCAACCAACTCCAAACCCCCCTTCCAGTGGAGAGAGCCTTCACAGCTCTGGCCATCCTCAGGAACGACAGTTGGGCTCTGCATATACCATCAAGCAGCCCACAGCCTCTCTCGGAACCCATCTGGTCCCAATGTCCCTTCTTCCAAGGGGCATTGCTGCCCCTCTAAAAAAAAAAAAAAAAAAATGTGCCGCCCTATGCAAATGCCTTGTGGTAAATGGGTGCCCCTGACCACGGTATGTAAACACGCTCATCCGAGTGCAGTATGGAAAAGGAGTTTAATGATCCACAATGTAAAAACTCACATAATAGAGAAGTAAAACAAGCCCATCAGTTGACCGTTACTGTGTCCTGCAGGGGTCCGTCCCGAGTGGAGATGGCCGGTTGGGGAGATGACAAATCCCGGGTAGCTGGGGAGAGCGGAGGTCCCACAGTGTAGGGTGAACATCAGGCAGAATCCCTGGAAGCTAGAGGCAGTCAGGAGTCCAGGACTCCGAGGTCCAACCGGAACCGGGAGTGCCCGTGACCAGCGTGAACCGCAGCGGGGGGCGGAGGTGACGTCACACAGGAAGAGAAGCAGTAAACTGAAGGGAGGACACAGGCTACGCGCTCCTTCTACTGGCCTGGGGATGCAGTGGCTAGAACGATCTATATATAGGTCTAGAGACATCTGGAGGACTACAGAGTCCAGCATACCAAGTGTTCAGCATAAAACGGTGAAATAAAAATGAAAAAATGATACATAAGAGACAATGAAAGATAAGAGCACCTGTGTGTTGGTGCGATATGGAAACTGTAATTGAGTAAATAGGAGAGAGGAATCGCAGAGCCTGAGGGAGGAAAAAGACTGGGGGGGGGGGGGGGGGGGGGGGGACAAATAATAAGAGGAAAAACACCATTCTAAAAGGCTTATTTAGCCCAATGAACCGTATAGAACAATAAAAATGATGAAATAAAAGGTATATATCAAACTTCTAGAGTGTATTGGGGTTGAGGGGCCAATGTGGAATTCTAATAAAGTATGGATCTCTAACTCTTCATTGAGGCCCCCCTGGGTCAGGGTACCCAATGTGTAAATCCAGAACGTCTCACGCTGACATAGACGTGAGAACCGTTCTGCCATTGGGGAGAGTTCTGGGGATAGATTCAATGATCCAAACCAATAGGCCTTCGGTGGATCCCTGATGTACCTATCTGAAGCGGTTATTGCCCATAGACTTTATTGGAAATATGGACATATAACAGTGGACATTAGACATTAGTGCGCTGAGATCTCTATTTTATTATTATACAGTATTTATATAGCGCCAAAAGGTTTGCTCAGCGCTGTACATTATAGTGGGGGACAGTACATGAGACAATACAGTAACAATACAATACACGAGGGGTTCGAGGGCCCTGCTCCTTGGAGCTTACAATCTAGGAGGGAGGGGATAGTGGCTGTGGGGGATGGAGTGGTAGGAAGAGTGGAGGAGATCAGCTGTTAGGTGAGGATGGGGTAGGCTTCCCTGAAGAGATGGGTTTTCAGGGTGCGCCTAAAGGTGAGGAGGGTAGGTGACAGTCTGATGGATTGGGGTAGTGAGTTACAGAGGATGGGGGAAGTCCTGGAGAAGTCCTGTAGTCGGGCGTGGGAGGTGGAGACCAGGGAACTAGAAAGCAGGAGGTCTTGTGAAGAGTACGGGTTGGGTGGTATTTGGGTATCAGGTCGGTTAAGTAGTTTGGGGCCGTGTTATGAATGGCTTTGTATGTCAATGTTAGTAGTTTGAATTTTATGCGTTGGGCAATCGGGAGCCAGTGGAGGGAATGACAGAGGGGGGGTGGAGCCAGTGGAGGGAATGACAGAGGAGGGTGGAGCCAGTGGAGGGAATGACAGAAGAGGGTGGAGCCAGTGGAGGGAATGACAGAGGAGGGTGGAGCCAGTGGAGGGAATGACAGAGGAGGGTGGAGCCAGTGGAGGGAATGACAGAGGAGGGTGGAGCCAGTGGAGGGAATGACAGGAGGGTGGAGCCAGTGGAGGGAATGACAGAGGAGGGTGGAGCCAGTGGAGGGAATGACAGAGGAGGGTGGCAGAAGTGGAGCGGTTGGTAAGGTGGATGAGTCTGGCCGCTGAGTTCAGGATATACTGAAGCGGGGATAGCCTGTGTTGGGGTAGGCCAGTGAGGAGGGAGTTGCAGTAGTCCAGGCGTGGGACTATGTTTATTTATGAACACCCCCATCCGCTTATGGGGGGGTACTAAAAATGCGGCTACACCATGCATTTTTAATGTCCAACCCAACTAAAGTCTGAACAAGCTCTAACACATTCCTATATGTATTTTTTTTTTTTTTATTCCCAGCAGTGTAAGTACCTGATTTTGCTTTGGTATCAGCCTCTTGCATTCCCTGTACATCAGAGCTAAGACTGGAGGAGGAAGAAGCAGCACAAGGAACACACTGACAGGCAGAGAAAAGAGAGTGACTAGAGTTATGAGCTCAGCAGTCTGCTGCTTCTTCTTTACCGTCCAATCACAGGCTAGGGGAGGGACAAGACCTGTAAGTGTCACTTAACTGCAGCAGAGAAAAATTAGGTCAGACAGCTGTGCGGTTTGGCAGAGCTGTGTAAATCTCAGGACTGAATAGGCAGAAATACAAATCTTTTAGCAGGTAGCACAGCTTCTAAGTACAGTAGGTCTTTTGTTGATGTATTTAGCCTGGAGCTCAGCTTTAATCGAGCATAAGTGAGTATACTGAGTCCAGTACCGTGTCGCTGTCAGTCTAATTGCTCTAATATTTTTTATTGCACTTTCTAATTAAATAATGTGTAATGACTGACATACTGTATGTTTATGGTTACAGCCAAACCGGATGTTCACGTGGAACCTTCCCCAAATCTGGTGGTGGCAAAGCTGCCGTATCAAACCGTAGCTGTTTGTGTGGCCAGAGCAGCCAAGCCAGCTGCTAATATCACTTGGCGGACGGGCGGATTGGATTATAATTCATCAGAGCATGTAATTCGGAATGTCAATGGGACGGTAACCACAGAGAGTCAACTGGCCATGATCTCAGGAGCAGGAATAAAGGACCACAGTGTGACTTGTATCATCTCACAAGGGTTAGCCTTATCACCGACTGAGAAGCAGCTGACCATACAGAACGTACAATGTAAGTAAGACAATTGCTGGATTACTACTTTCTAGTTCCCTGGTTTCCTCCTCCCATGCCCTTCTCCAGGGCTTACCCCATCCTCTGGAACTCCCTACCCCAATCCATCAGACTATCACCTACTTTCCTCACCTTTAGGCGCACTCTGAAAACCCATCTCTTCAGGGAAGCCTACCCCGCCCTCAGCTAATTACTGATCTCCTCCACTCTTCCTACCACTCCATCCCCCACAGCTATTTCCTCCTGTACCTCTACCCCCTTCCTTCTAGATTGTAAGCTCCAAGGAGCAGGGCCTTCGAACCCCTCATCCACCTTACTAATCGCTCCGTATCCGCCACCCTCTCTGCCATTCCCTCCACTGGCTTCTGATTGCCCAATGGATAAAATTCAGAATACTAACATTAATGTATAAAGCTGTTCATAATACTGCTCCAAACTACATCACCGATCTGGTATCCAAATACCACCCAAAATGTACTCTCCGCTCCTCACAAGACCTCCTACTCTCTAGTTCTCTGGTCTTCTCCTCCCCTCTAGTTCTCTGGTCTTCTCCTCCCATGCCCGTCTCCAGGACTTCTCCAGGGCTTCCCCCATCCTCTGGAACTCTCTACCCCAATCCATCAGACTATCACCTACTCTCCTCACCTTTAGGCACACCCTGAAAACCCATCTCTTCAGGGAAGCCTACCCCACCCCCTGCTAACTTGCCGACCTCCTCCACTCTTCCTACCACTCCATCCCCCACAGCTATCTCCTCCTGTACCACCATCCCCTCCCTCCTAGATTGTAAGCTCCAAGGAGCAGGGCCCTCGAACCCCTCGTGTATCGAATCGTATTGTTACTGTGCTGTCTCGTGTATTGTCTCCCGTAATAATGTACAGCGCTGAGCAAACTGTTGGCGCTATATAAATCCTGTGTAATAATAACAAGCAGCCTAGCAGGGCAAGAAAGGGGGGCAGATGCACTGTTTGTTCTCAACCCCCTCCCCCCAACCCCTAAACCATGACAATGAACCAAATGCGATATCTCCTGCGCTCCGGGACCCAGACCGGTGGTGAGTAGATGGAATCAAACTCCAAAAAGGAAGGAACCACCGGAATAGACAAGGTCGTGCAGCTCCACACCAAGGCTGGGGAAGCCCAAACAAAACTGTTTTTTTGTTGTTCAACCCCTAAACCATACCAGGCCACATGCCCTCAACATGAGGAGGGCCCATGTTGATGGTGACAAAGGCCTCTTTCACACAACCCTGGCACAGTGGTTGTTCCATACACTGGAATCAATGTTTTTTGGCTGGAAAAAACCCCCAAAACTAGTGGGTTTCTAGAGGAGCTTTTTAGCTGTAAAAAGCTCTAACGCTGAAAAACGCGGTAAAACGTGGTTGTAGGGGTGTGGGGACCTATCAAAATTTGGATCCCCCTTTAGGATAAGGGGGGCCCTTATCCTAAAGGGGGATCCAAATTTGCTCTCTCTTTACGTGCATGAGTAAGGACATAGTACCCCAGCTCAATCACAAAAAATGTCAGTTGCCAGTAAATACAATCACGCACTGGTTATTGACAAGTCCTTTATTAAAAAATAAAAACCCAAAACAACACACGAAAAAAAAAAAAAAAAAAAAAAAAAAAAAAAAAAAAAAAAGAGCGTAGTAAATCCAGCATCGGTCACGATAAACGTTGCCTGACGATCTTTTGAGAGAACCAAAACCTGTTGATATGCTGATCTGTCTGCTTGTGCCACATGGGTGTGCCACTAATGATAGCTCCAGGCTTATATGCAATAGGGTGGGGGAAGTTTAGATTGAAAAGAGAGTCATTTTTAACCACTTGAGCTCCAGAGGATTTACCCCCCTTAATGACCAGGCCTCTTTTTGCTACTCGGCGCTGCACTAATTCAACTGATAATTGCGCGGTCATGCAATGCTGCACCCAAAACGAAATTTACGTCCTTTTTTTCACACAAATAGAGCTTTCTTTCGGTGTAATTTGATCACCTGTGCGCTTTTATTTTTCACGCTATAAACAAAAAAAGGCCAAAAATTTTGAAGAAAAACAATATTTTTTACTTTCAGCTATAAAAAATATATAGTAAACTCAAAGTTGGTTATAAATTTAGGCCAAAATGTATTCTGCTCCATGTTTTTGGTAAAAAAAAATCCCAATAAGTGTATATTGATTGCTTTGTGTGGAAGTTATAGCGTCTACAAACTATGGTATAGATACTGCAATTTACGCCATTTTTCTGCTATACAGCACTGCGCTAGTTTAACGGACAATTGCGCGGTCGTGCAATACGGTACATAAATGAAATTTACATCCTTTTTTTCCCCACAAATTGAGCTTTCTTTCGGTGGTATTTGATCGCCTGTGCGGTTTTTATTTTTTGCGCTATAAAAAAAAAGGCTGACAATTTTGAGGAAAAAAAAACAATATTTTGGACTTTTTGCTATAAAACATGTCCAGTAAAAAAAAAAATGCAAAAATCAAATTTAGTCATAAATTTCTGCCAAAATGCATTCTGCGACATGTCTCTGCTAAAATAAAACCCCAATACGTGTAAATTAATTGGTTTACGTGAAAGTTATAGCGTTTACAAATGGCGGGAAAGATACTGGGATTTTTAATTTTTATTTATACTAATAATGGCGCTGATCAGCGACTTATGGCGGCAATCAGCGACATATGACAGCGACCAGTGACTTATGGCGGGACTGCGGCGGACATTTTGACACTTTGGGGGGGGAACTGACATCCCCAGTGACACCAATACAGTGATCATTGGAAAAAAAAAACACTGAAACTGTACTATTGTCACTGGGGAGGAAGGGGTTAACATTTTTAGAATTTGCTGTGTAAGGGGAGTGTTTTACTAGGGGGCGGGGGTGTGTACTGGACGGGGGGGGGAGGGGGGAGCTGAGGGAGGGGGGAGCTGATCGAGGGAGAGAAACTCTTCTCTCCCTCTTCAGCTTGTCGGCGCTGTGTGTAAACAATGCAGCCCTGCTCTGTGTCAGTGATCACCGCTCATCGCGGGAAAACGGCCGGTAAAAACCGGCCGTGACCCGGCGGCGGAGACCCGCTGCTGACACCCGTGGGACAGGTAGGGTGGGCGCACGCCTCGCGCGCGCCCCCTACCTGTTTTGAAGGCAGCCGTTTTAAAACGTGCTTTTGCCTACGAGTGCCGCACTGCCACCGTTTATATGCGGTGGCTGGGCGGCAAGTGGTTAATAACCTTCAATTACAATGTGATGTGTGTCACAAATCTATATGCTGTATTATTTTTTTTTTTTTTTTTTATTTCATTTCACTTTACTATTTTTTTTTTCCCATGAAAGTGGAGTTCCCCCTTAAGCCATCCATACATGGATTGAAATTTGGCTGGTTCAGCAGGGACCAGGCGAATTTCGAACGATCGGTAGAAGTCAATCTGCTGATCAATGTCTGTACTGCTGCCACTACAAGGTTGGTTTTAATTTTTCCCTATAGCTCAGCTTTAGTCCTCATGCACACTTCACGTTTTTACAGCGGCTGTTTTTGGGGTTTGATTGTTTTTTCTACAGTCAATAAACCCCCCTGCATGTTATCCTATGTGTCCATGCACACATACACTGGAATCAATGTTTTTTGGCTGGAAAAAAACCCCAAAACTAGTGGGTTTCTAGAGGAGCTTTTTAGCTGTAAAAAGCTTTAATGCTGAAAAACGCGGTAAAACGCCGCAAACCGGCGCTGTTGGACGTTTTTTTTTTTACCAAAAATTTTTTTTTTTCGGTAAAAAAAAAAATGCTAAAAAAGCGAAAAAAAAAAAAACGCTGCTAGTCGCAGCAAAACGCCACTAAACGCTAATGCAAAGACGCTAAAAAAAAGCTGAAAAACTCACGTTTTTGTATTTCAATGGTTTTTATTAATTTATAACCGTTAACACAGGAGCAACAAGTCACGCCTACGCTGGGGCTATCAATTGCACATAAGAAAATTAGAAAAATCAGTTTTCTAAGGCTACGTTCACACTAGTGATGTGTGCAGGCGGCAGAGAGGCGTTTGGGAAGGGTTTTTACCGCTTCCCAAACGCCTCTGACAATTCTGCACATTGCAGCACATGGTGCTGTTCTAACGGGAGCGTTAGCGTCGCAGCTAAACAGACGCCTCTGGTCGAGTCAGGAGGCGTTGAAGCCTCCTATTCTAGTCTATGGTGCTGATCCGCAAACGCCCGGCCGTAACACCATTTAAACTTCATTATAGGGGCGTTTGGCAAGCGTTGGTAAAACAGTCAAGTGTGAACGAGCCCTAACACCAACAGAGCAAAAAATACGCCCACGCAGGGGCTATCAATGGCACTTAAATAACAAAACATTAGTATAACACTGATAGTAACTCAAACTAGAGGCAGCTATCCACTGCCACACCAAAAACAACCAAAAAAAAAAAAATAAAAAGGAAGGAGGAGTACAAAAGAAAAAAGATAACAAAACCAAGAGCAGGGATCCAAGAATGCCAATGCTGAACAACATCACATCCCCAGACTAGCCGGGGGTGGGGGGGGGGCGTGGGAAAGGTATATTGCAACCACGGCTCCCATATTTTCAACAATTTACATTGAGAGTCATTGCAGATACTCGACATGTGTTCATTGAGCATCATAGAGGTCATATAGTCCCGCACCCCCTGAAGAGGGATAAACAGGCTCTTCCAGGCCTGAGCAATTGTTCTAGTGGCTGACAAAAACAAACAGGAAGCCAACTTCTGCTGATAAGCCAAGAGGCCCGGTATGGGGCAATGAAGCAAAGCGTACCAAGCATCCCGGCGTATGGAGAGATGGAACAAGGTGAAAAGGAGGCCAAACACACGAGACCAAAAACGAAGCAGTCTCGGGCATGACCACCAGATATGCAATACATCTCCACGATGGCCACAACCCCAAAAGCATCGATCGCTGCAGGCAGGGTTTGCCTGTGCCAAACGAGCCGGGACCCAATACCAACGAAACAATACTTTGTATGCTGCCTCCA